ATCATCATCATCATCATCATCATCATCATCATCATCATCATCATCATCATCATCAGCATCATCATCATCATCATCAGCAGCAGCAGCAGCATCATCATCAACAGCAGCATCATAATCATCATCCGCAACAACGGCAACGACAACATCATTGTCACTAGCAACAACACCACCACCATCACCATCACCTCATCAGCATAGTCACAATCATTGTATACTCGCAATCGTCATCGTTATCAGCGTCGTGATCACCATCACTACCGTAATAGTAACGAGTATCAATCGTAAAAAGTCCGTAGTCGTTATCGGTAGCACCACGATCGTCATCACCAGCAGCAGCCACATCATGATGATCATCAGCATCATCATCATCATCATCATCATCATCATCATCAGCATCATCATCAGCATCATCATCAACAACAGCAGCTGCAGCAGCATCATCATCAGCATCATCAGCAGCAGCTGCAGCAGCATCATCATCAGCATCATCAGCAGCATCATCATCAACAACAAGCTCAACATCACCATCAGTTCCGTCGAAATGATCATCAGCAGCAGCAGCAGCTTCATCATCAGCATCAGCATCAGCAGCAGCACCATAATCATCCATTGCATCATCAATTGTATCACCAATTGCATCATCGGCAGTATCACCACGCATCAGCATCATCAACATTGGAATCACCATCATCAGCATCATTAGGATCGCCATCATCATCATCATCAGCAGCAGCAGCATCACCGTCAGCAGCATCATCATAATCATAATCAGGTTCATCAACATCATCGTCATCAACATCAGCATCATCAGCATCATCATCATCAACATCATCACCCTCATCATCATCATCATCATCATCATCATCATCATCATCATCATCATCATCATCATCATCATCATCATCATCATCATCATCATCATCATCATCGCCATCCATAGCCATTTTGGCTCAAGTTGTTTCTCCATTATCTCTCGCAGGCGCCCACGCGCAGCGGCCAGCGGCGCGCGATTGGGAGATGAGCAATGGCGACGGGGGACTGCCCGCTGGCGCGAGGGCGGGGCGGCCCATCAGGCGTGGCAGTGCGCTGCGCGGGGAAGAGGACGAGTTCCGCGCTTCGGCGGTCCGCCGACGGGCGCGGGCACGGCGCCTCCTCGCTGCCGTGGCGGCGGCTGGCACGGCGGCCAGCGGGGGGGTTCCAGGTTCCTGGCAGGACCGTGAGGCTGCTGCGCGCCCTGCCCTGCGCCTGGCCGCCTCGGGATGCCGTGCTGCCCCAGGCGCGGCGCGGCGCGGCGGCGGAACGCCGCGTGGCACGCGCCGCTGGCCCAAGAGGGCGGCTTCGCGCGCGCGTCCGCGGCAGGCCCCCGCCTGGGACGGCATCCCGCGACCCCTTGTGGTGCTCAACGAGGCGCTCGGCCACGCGACGAGGACGGGATCGCTGAGGAGCACGTCGACGACGAGGAGCCGGCCGGCCCCCTCCAGGCGAGGATGGCTGCGCGCACGGTTCGCGTGTCGCCGGGGCTCGTCGGGCAGCCGCAGGCCCCACGCGAGCAGTCGCGCACGCGGCGGCGCGCCGCCTGTCCACCACCCTTCACCCCTGACTACCTACCGGACCACCCCAACCCAGCCCGAAGACCCGAATTTCGGGTTGGGGGGGTAAGGGTTCCGCATGGGTTTTTTCGATGTTGCCCGAACCCCCCCCCCCACTGGAAATCGAGGGTAAATCTGAGCCTTCGGGTTGGGTTGGGGTGGTCTGGTGGGTGGTGAACCCCCACGCTGGAGGCCATCAGCGAGGATGTCGGTGAGTCCGTGGACGAGGAGTCCGGGTGCGAGGGGGAGGATGCGCTGAACGTTGTGCTCCCTGGCGGCGACGCGCACGCCGGCACGGGCCCAGAGCGGGCAGGCGGGCCCCTGCCAGCCGCCGCCAGCCCCGACGACGTCCCCCCGCTCGCCAAGGCCACGACGGAGCTCGTGACGCACGGGGCCGTGGGCACGTGGGCGGAAGCGGGGGATTTCGACGAAGGCGGGCGGTTTGCCCCTGGGTCGCTCGGTCGCCTCCTCTGGAGCACGGAGGTTACGGTTGGGCGTATCATCAATCCTGCGGGCCTGTTCGGATGGCCTGATGATGCATCCGACAGCTCGCTCTCGTCCCATGGTGGTGGGGAACCGAGGAGATGCAACGGACGGGTCGGACGACGATTTCGAGGACGTCGGCGTCGAGGATCTCGATGTCGGGCTCGAAGACCATTTCGGCGGCGTCAGCCACGAGGATCTCGAGGATTTGGTGGAGTACAAGACGTGGATCAGCCTCCCAGTGGACGCCTTCAGGGACCTCTGCAAGGCGCGGGCGGCCTTCGTGAAGGTCGCCGACGCCGTTTGCGCGGCGGCGAGCTCAGATCACGGCCGTCGGCCACGACGAGCTCGACGACGAGGTGCTGCTGGCGGGGCTGGGCTTCGTCGTGACAGGGCGCGTGGAGATCGGCCCGCGCTTGGAGCCGAGTGCGGCAAGCCCAACGGCGCCGCGCAGCCCAGCGGAGCTGGCGATGGAGCAGTAACAGGAGTGCCATCAGTGACGAGTGCGGCGGGAGCAGCGGTCGAGGCTTCTTGGCTGCAGGCGAGCTCTTGGGTGCGGCGGCCGCCTCGCGGATGGCCCTCGTCGCGGCCAGCTTCCTCCTCGGGGTCCCGCTCGAGGCATCCCTGGCCTTCGACGCCCAGGGCACCGACGAGGCACTGTGCCCCCCAGATGCCGGCGGTGTCCTCTCACAAGTTGGCGCTCGGCGCGGCTGGGCGGTGTCGTTCTGTTCGCCGGGCGGGTCCGAGGATCAAGAAATGCCTGCGGCGAGCGTGCTGGCCCTCTCTTGGGCTCGGCACGGCACTCCGTCTTGCTGAAGCCTTGGCACCTTGCGGTTCGGGGCCCCAGGTCTGCCGAGCGCGGTGCCGTGCGCTCGTAGCGCCAGGCGGGTCCGAGGACCGTGAATGCCTGCGACGAGCGTGCGAGCCCCGCTTGGGCTCGCGGTGTAGCACCACCCGCTCGCCTCAGCAGCGCGCGCGGTGACGTTCTGCTCGCGGCGCCAGGTGGGTCCGAGGATCACGAATGCCTGCGACGAGCGTCAGGCCCTCGGAGGGGGGAGCGAACCCGTGGCGTAGGCTGTACCCCGCGGGGCTCGGCATACGCCACTGGCGTATGCCCGAGGGAGCGGGAGGGAGTGAACCCTGAGGGTTCACTCCCTCCCGCTCCCTCGGGCTTGTTGTGCATCATTGCTCTGCAGCTTGCTGCGTACAAGTCCGCCTTTCGTGCATCGGTGGCGGGCTGAGTCGCCGTGACTGCTCGCAGGCCGTACTACCGCTTGCTTCGGCTGGGGCGGTGGGCGGCTTCTTGGCACCCATTCGAATCGGCGAGGGTGCGCTGAGGCGCACGAGACCGAGCGTTGCCTCTGCAAGGCAATAGGGAAACGCCTCGATCCGAGGGGCAGGGCGAGCAGGGAGCTCCTGTCCCCTTCAGCCGCGTGGATCATCATCAGCAGAAGCATCATCAGCATCAGCATCATCATCATTAGCAGCATCATCATCATTTGTCATCATCAACATAACCCTGATCATCAGCAGCAGCATCATCATCGTCGTCATCATCATGATCATCACCAGCAGCATCATCACCATCGTCATGATTCGTGTTCACCCTCCGCACGATCATCCTCATCATCCTCGTCCTCGTTATCGTCATGACCGTCAGGTCGGTGAGCTCATGCGAGCCGCGGGGCTGACCCCCTCACACGGCCAAGATTTGAAAGCTGGTGGCAACCGCCCCAATGGAGAGCATTGATGTGTTGTCCCTCCACCTCGGCTACTACCACCACCTCCTCCTCCTCCTCCACCTCCTCCTCGTCCTCCTCCTCCTCCTCCTACTCCTCCTCGTCCTCCTCCTCCTCCTCCTCCTCCTCCTCCTCTTCCTCCTCCTCCTCCTCCTCCTCCTCCTCCTCCTCCTCCTCATGGCGACCCAATCGCAGAGGCCATGCCTCCTCTCCCTCCGCGTGAGCCCAGGGCACCGCAGGGGCTGCCTGCGGCGCCCCACAGAACTGCCAGCGGGCCTCCTCCGCCGTACGGCCAGGAACGGGAGTCGGAAGCTGACGAGGGGGGGGGGCAAAGCGGAACGAGACTTGGGAACCGACTGCAACCGAGGATGCCGTCGGTGCCGACGGGGCGCCGATCGTGCACGAGACGCGCCCTCCTCCCTCCACCCCCTCCCCCTCCCCCGCCGCGAGCCCATCCATCGCCCACTCGCTCATCATTCATGTCCATTCCAGCCACTGCAATCGCAGCTTACTCGTCGAGGTTGGCCGCCGCGCAAGCAGGCGAGTCGACATGCGATGCGGCCACAGGGCCATCGCAGAAAATACACGGCGCTGCTTCCGCTGTTACCAGCTGCGACCGCCAGGTCCGCCCGCGCGACGAGCTGCTGGCGCTCGCGCGCCACCGGGAGCACATGATCACCTGCGCCACCTGCCCTTGGTTCGCACTGACCACGCAGCTGCGAGGCCAGTCTGCAGCACGCGGGCCTCCGAGAGTACGCCCTGAGCGCCGATCCTGCGCTCCTCGCGGTTGCGAGGAGGTGGCCAGCCGCGCGACTCCGCGGCCCCACCCCGGCGACGTTACATTGCATCTCCGCCAAGGCCATCGGAACTGTCCCGCACGCCGCCTCCAAACCAGTCGGCAGCGCTGAAGGCCGCGCATCCGCGCATGCGCCAGCGATCGTGGCCACGCCCTATCCCCCGCTGGTCTCCAGGTTGACCTCCCATCTCCGCATGCGCTCTTGCTGTAGCCTGCAGGTGGCGGCCAGGGCGACATCGCCACTGAGCGTTCACGGACTTGGTGGTGCATTAGGCTGTGGTAAGAGGGGCCTCCTGGTCGCCAACGGCCCCCTGGCTGTCCCCGAGAGGCGGTCCCACGTCTGGGCGGTCCTCCGCTCTCCTGCGCCCCACCGCCCAACGAGCCGCTGCGGGCTCACACCAGACCACCGTCCGCCCGCCCGTCCTGCGCACCGCCGCCCTCCGAGCCGCTGCAAGCTCACGTCGGACCTTCGTCCGCCCGCGCCCGCGCCCGCGTCGCGCGCCTGCGCCGTCGCCCTGCACCAGCCAGGCCTGCACACACTTGCCGCCCAGGCGTGGCGGAACTCGGCGCCGTGTGGCGCGCACCCAGCGCCCGAGCCAGGGAGAGGGCCTCCCAGCTCCCCCAGCAGCTGGGCAGGGGATTCCGAAGCGCTCGGTCGACTTTTCCATGTCTGGCGAGGGGAGGAAGGAAAGGTTGGGCAGCGCCAAAGGAGACGGCGGAGGAGGAGGAGGAGGAGGAGAAAAACTAGAATGGGACTAACCTGCGCTGCGCGGACGGTCTTTCGCGAACGGGGCCGAAGCGAAGGGGGGCACGACTTATCCACCAGCAGTGTGCTAGCAGGGAGAGAGGAATGAGGGACGTCTGGCACGCACTCCCTGCAGGTTGGCGGTGAGCAGGGCAGGCCCTCTCACAGGGCGGCTGGGCTTCTTAGAAGCCCTCGCGGCTTCGGAGAAGTTCCCTGAGCCTTCTCCGAAGATCGGCGGTGGACAAAGCTCACTTTGGTAAACCTCCCCTTAGTGAAAACGGCCTGGGACCGAAACCGACGGACCTGGACCCGCAAAAATGACGGCCGCGACGCCCTCTCGCGAACCGAGAGCGGCCAATTCCTCAATCGACGTGTCAGGGTAGGAGGTCTACCAACCTCCGAGAAGACAGACGGCTTCTCAGGAGGCTGGAAGACTTGTGAAAAGCTCCACCGCCTTCTGAGATCGCCTGCCCCCCTCACTTCCCCCCAGGGCTCCACACCAGACCTGGCCGCCCTGGCACAGCGCCGCGCGCGCGCCCGCTGCTTTCTGTCCTCCGCGCGGCCGTCGGAACACGCTCTGGGTGTGCCGACGCGTCTTTTGCCTCCAGCGCGTCTGCATCGCCTCTTTCGTGGTTGCCGCGCGCACTGCGTCGGCTTGGCCGACGCGACAAGGTCATGTGGTCCGCCTGCGCCATGGACATCGCGACAGAAGCGCCGGGCTCAGACGGGTCGCCGGACGTCGTGTCCAGTCCAGCAGTTCGCACGTCGCCGGATGGCACCACCTCGGTGGCCCTCCGGCACCTCTGGGGGAGGCTCCACGGGCGCCGCCAGCGCGTGCTCCTTGGCCGACGCGCGGTCGCAACAGCAGTGGGTTCGGGCTCGAAGCAACGGCGGGCTGCACCGCGGCGAACTTCACCTGTGCGCGCGGACGGGGAGAACAGAGAAGCAACAAAACCGCACAGGCATAAACTTCTGGCGGACCGCGCGGATTTCCTGGATCCGCGCGGAACGCGCCAGGGGCGGCGCAGGAGGCGCCGCCAGGGGGTCCTGGCGCAGATCCAAGAGATCCGCGCGGAACGAATGCTTATGCCGTTTTCTGGGCACTCCTCTGGGTGGAGGGCTCAGGGTGAAAGTCACATGGGCATCTGCACCTGGAAAACAAATCCGCCTTGTGATTTTTGGGTTAAAGATTCAAGCCTCGAACATCCATCGAAACGGCACTTCAGGTTCCACCCTTTGCCCTCCACCCCAAAGAAAAATGCTCGGGCTTTTGGCTGTTCGAGAGCAGCGGCCGCGGCCGGCTCCGACAGCGACCGTCGCCCAGGGCCGGCAGGGGCGGCCTCGGGCTCGCGCGGGGGTGCAGCAGCGCGGGCTGCGCCTGGCCATCGGGCGGGGGCCGAGTCTTCGCCGAGGTGCTCGGGCGCAGGCCGTCTGGGAGCACGATGCGGACTGCCCCGATGAGACGGCAGCCCAGCAGCGGCCGCTGTCGACTTGGGGCGACAGGTGGTGCGCCCTCGAGAGGTGGCGGCCCCCCTAGTTTTTTTTGTTGTTGTGAGGGGGCAGATGGGATCGCACACGATGCTTCAACGGGGATTGTGAAGCAGACCTCAAGCAGGACAGTGCAACCTGGCAGGCCTGGCTGGGTGCACCGGCAGATCCCCCATCCGCGACAGAACGCCCAGAATTCTGCCTTCGCGTGGCGACCCCCTATAGTGTTGACCCCCCTCAGCACTTCCTGGCTGCCCGAGCTTCGAGGCTCTCGGGCGCGTGCCCTCCGGGGCCCTCGGGTGGGGGCCGGGGGGGCCTCCCAGCTCGGCCGGGGGGTGGCGTGCCGGTGCCTCCCGTCGCGGGCTCGCCCTGGCAGCCCGCACCTCGCGGGGACCCCCCCCCCAAAGGCGTCGGACACGCAGGGCGGCGGGCTGCGGAGAGACTGTTGGGCCGCGCGTCCACCGCGACGCGCGCCAGCCGACGCCCCGCGCGCCCTCGGAGTCCTGCGGCTGCGCCTCGCCGTCCCCAGCGGGAGAGGCCCACGGCGTGCCCGGGCCGCGGGGCGCGCCCTCTCCTGGACCGCCAGGGGCCATGGCGGGCCCCCCTCCCCGAGCTGGTCGCTGGCCAGGGTGGGCGGCTTACGCGCGATGGCAGCGACCC